TCACACTTTCCTCCTAAATTCAATTTCCACAAATATTTTGATTCTTCCTCTTTTTCATGCCAGGTGCTCTAACCATTTGATTATGTGGCGCGCATGTCAAAAACCTTATTGTCGGAGGATTTGAACTGTCGGTCGGATTAGTTGCCATCCAACCTCTTGACTTGATTTATAGGCATGGGAAACCGCGGGGAGGAAACAAAGACCAAAAATTATGTGTTGTTTTTTTACGATTATTACGGTAAACTCTGATGTGAAGATGAGTTCGGATGAACTGAAGACACAGTTCCCAGTTGTAGTAGGTAGCCTAATGTTCCTAATCACGTATGTTGAATTACTGTCAGAGCTAAAACTTCCTAGATTTTTTGGTCAATATTTTACGATCCTGTGAACTGGGAGCTCTAAAACGTAAATCACTATGTCATCCTTGTCAACTACCGATTTTTAGAGCAGACGACAATCCCTCAGAAGTTTCAACATTTCGCAATAGAGTCCTTTTTAGAACCTTCTTTCATTTTCTAGTTTAGAATACAGTATCCCGGTAAAAACTCCCATTCAGAGAGAAGTAAAACAAACACTACGTAACACGGGTTCTCTGAAATGATTCATATATTTCCTTTTTGATGATCACCCCGAAAGCCGATAAGGTTCCCATCAACCAGTCTTTCATTTCCCGTCCGTTCCCATTCCTCCTCCTCCCTTCAGTTCTACCCATCTGATGTTTCTCGATCATTTCAAAAATCACCCTCTTCTTTTTTCAAAAAACCTCTCCCCCAGTCCTCCTCACTCTCTTTTCCTCTGGGGTGACCAAGTGGGCGGAGCTTGCGGTGTGGTCCATCCTCCTCTGAGAGTCTCTCTCTCTCCCTCTCCTATGCCCTATAGTGCACCACAAGACGATTGATATTATTTCTTGGCTCCAGGTCATCATCATTAATTGATTTATCTCTTTTTTTCATTATCATTTTTTATTCATTACCAAGCTTCTCGAAGATTCTTAATTTATGATTTTCCAGATCCTCCCCACCCTAAATGAGCCATATCTAAACTACGCACATCTACAAAAATATAGGAAAAGATGCGAATTTTAGTTGTTTTGCTCTTTTTGGTCTCCAACTGCTTGGCTCTTCATAATGGATCATGCATTGGATCACCATGTGGATCGAATGGAAACTGTCAAATTGGACCAATCAATGGAACACAAACTACGTTTTGGTGCAGGTTAGTAATTTTTACTGATTTTTAGATCCATTTTTAGACATCCGTGTCAGGTGCCTCTCTGAATCATTTCGAAAATCTCCTAAAACCTTAAAATCATGATTTCGAAAATATTCGGGTTCTCTAGGTTTCAAAATATGTAACTGTTAGTATCCTTTTTCGAAAAAATTAGGATCCGAATTGCAGATTTTTCGGATTGTTGTGCAAAACGTCCTGAAATATTTTCTCCATGAAAATTTAGAACTTTGTCAAAGTTATGAGATTTTTTTTCGAAATTTTCATCTATTATCTAATTCTGAATAATTTAGGCAAATTTAACCATATTTCACTTTTCGAAAATACCGAAAATCTGTAATAGAAGGGCCCTCACACCAACTGACAAAAAACTTCGTACCAACTGACAAAAAACTTCTGATAGTATGATAAACAATTCACCAGTTGATAATTTTTCGATATCTTTGAATGGCTCCGAGATGAATTTGCTCAAAGTCAAGAGCCCTTCTATGTCAGATATAAATATTTGTAACTTCTTTTCTATCATCTATCAACTTCTGCTCAACATCTTCTCTTTCTTCTATAATCCAACCCTCCTACTACAAAACAAAGGTTACGTAACCAACTCTGATTCTAATTTATGGGCGGCATGCTCACACTGATAAGATAACTTTATGGCCCTACTAGACACGTGTATTTTTCTTCTCCCAATGCAACATAATTAATTAAACGAAGACATATTTCCTCCTCTTCTCCGTTTTCCATATTTTATCCTCTCTCTCCGAAATGTTCCCATCGAAAACTTGCGCAACAAGAGAGAGTAATGGGTAGAGAAGGGACACCACCTGCATCCTGTAGAATTGCAAAAAACGAACTTTTCTTTTTTTTGTTCTTTGGTGGGGGGTAATGGGAAAACGACACAGGGCCTGGGGGACAGGAACGAGGCTTATTTAGATGAAAATGAACACCTGTCTCTTTTTGTTCGAGACATAGATTGCTGAAGGTTAGTGGCAATGTTCAAGAAAAAATTTGGATTACTGTAACTGATTGCTTCAAATTCAAAAATTCTCAAAGACTTAAATTAATTTCCGAGTTTTATGTCTGTCTCTTTGAAATGAGCCAAACTTCAAAGTTTAGTAATTTCCGCTGAATGTTAGCTAGAGCGTGACTACGGTAACTGAAATATGGAACTTTTTTCCGATGATTCCCAAAAACTACCGTACTCTTCCTCTTCCGTCTCTAGGATTCTCGGAAGATTCCCACAATTCCCGTCTCCTTCTTCTTCATCTTCTCTTCTGATTTTTTTGTTCCCACCAAGACCACCCAATTAACCCTTCTCATTAGAATTCATCGGGAAGCTTTTCGTTTTCATTTCCCCCCCCCCCTTTTGTCTTGATTCCAAAAAATCCTCTCTTCCCTAAATCGGTAGTTTATAGACATGGGAAATGGAAATGAGAAGACACCAAAAAAAGACTGGTCTTCTGAACGGGAACGTCATCTGAATGGAAGGCCTTATCACCTGTTTGAGAGGGGGAGTCTTATCAAATATTTTGCCTTTTGTTCCTGTACTTTTTATAACCATGTTCCCAGTCTTGTCGGCATTTAGGAGATAGATGAGGTAAGGAAAAAGAAGCAACAAACTAATAAAACAAAACCATAGAATACTCAGAGGGTTGGTCAGAAGAGGATTACTGTCACGGGTATTCGGTTGTCGGTAGCAGAAAGAGACAGGCAATGGGATAATCCATCGTTGGGAACAGAAGTTTTCTTTTGAGTTAGGGTGATAAGATGGTAAATGTGCTCTATTGATAACTTTTGTTTTTAAGAAGTGAAATTGATCTCCATTAGGATAGGTTGAGTCTCCAAAACATTGACCGGTTACGGTGCTTTTAAAGCTTCAGTAGGATTTCAATTTTACTCGAAATGGCGTGATTCTGAAATAATTACAATTAAAATCTCGATCATCAAGACTCAAATTTTCTAAATTAATCTGAAAATTTTCCCAGATGCAACGACGGCTTCTATGGTTCATTTTGCGAGAGAAAGTGTTTATTGACTTGTGGTCCCAATCAGAAATGCGTCTACAACGAAGAGAATCAAGCAACATTATGTGTTTGTAAAGGTGAGAATCTTCTTTAAAAATATATAACATGTCCTTTATCATTCCTTACATAAGGTTAAAAAATCCGTCCATTCTTTGCTTCTTTTCCCATGGGGACCTAAAAACCCATCACTCATTTTTAGACCCCCTGACACGGGCGGTCACTCGTTTCCCTCTTTTTTTTTTGGGGACATGTTGCGAATGAAATTCCGGAGCATCTGCTGCCCCATGTCACCCCTTTTTGTCGGATATTCTAGTGACCACTCCATTCATCATCAGGGCTTCGGAGGGACATGAAAAAATAGGAAAAGGGCATTTTGAAGTTTTTTAGGTTCTGGAAATCTAGATAAACAGATAAACAGACAGGCATTTGAAACTTACTATTCAGGTGTCATATTTTGAAAGGTTCAAGAAAACATTTCGAAATCCAAGTATTTCTTCTTCACTATAGGTACCAACATAAGGTGTAATATTTCTTGTCACCTCTTTGGCCAACAACGACAAATTGTTCCTCCGACCATACCGTCCGTTTTTCGGCCGCACCATACAGCTCATTTGTCTTTTCGGCGCCCCTGTCTCTCTTAAAAATGAACCAGATCCTGATAAATTGCTCTTAAGAAAATTCTAAAAGAAGGCCTTGGTCATTTTCACACACACTTCTTGTGTCCCGCCCGTTCTCAACCACATCTCTTTTGAACACAATTTATGACCAATGTTCTTTTTTTGTAAGGAACGGCCGTGCGACCCGATGGCGCCCCGCCCGTGGTGTTGCCAAATTTTGAGGGAATGGAAAGTGACCTAAAAAGTAGAGCAGATGTTTGATGAAGTGTGTAAATCATTGGTTTTTTGAAGAATCAAAGACAACCGGTATGATGTATGGAGAAGGCGTGGGAAAGTGTAGGATTTATTGGGATTTTGATGAAATATGGAAAATCATATTAGAGGGACTTTCCATTCTTTGAGTCACTGTTCATTTGTTCTTTTTCCCTAACTACAGTAACCATTCATACATTCCTCTACCAAATCAAATCTTCTATCATCCTAATTTGTCCTAATTTTTCAGATTGCGACACAAACGGAAATCCAAAAACAACGCCAGATTGCCCTGCTGGATATGGAGGTAAGTACTACTGTACTTGTGCATTACAAGTAGTTTAACG